ATAACTCATTATGATTATACGTCTGTGTTTGCCCTTATTGACCTTAACTTTTGTCCTTGTATATTATACTATAGAACGAAAGGAAAAGTGGACAACATGTAGCTCGTTAAAATGGAAGTGATATTCCATGCTTTGCTCCTCTATGCTTATGCTTGCTTTTCTCTCTTTGTGCAACTTGTTAATTGTAAGCTACACTGTCCCTTTAGGACCGACATGGTCAGAGGGTTTAATTTCGCATAAAAAAAAAAGAATTATTCGTTCTTTTACTTGTTTTACTAATGGCCCTGCCTCATTCATATACGCACTATGCCATTCTCATAACATTTACATAATGTTAATGGCCTCTGGCTCCCTGACAACTTTTCTTCGTCAAGAAGGTCACTTTCTCTCAGTGACAATACAAAGTATACCTTCCTATTCAGAAAAAAAGAAAGTATCATGGCTGAACCTTAATTTCAAATTACGATGACGAATTGTCTTGAAAATAGGAGTCTATTTATTTGATGTTGTCAGTTCATCCTTTTAGATTAATATGACAGAACCAAAGATTTCTGCCAGTAAACTTATAGCATTCAGCAGGGAAAATCAAGAATCTTATCGACCCTTGCTTTCTAAATACTTAGCGGAAAAAGACGGAAAAAATCTTGAACCGTTTACCCTTTTATGGTACGACCCATGTGAGAATAACAATCAACAAATCCAACATGAATTACGCCATTCGATCAATTATATGAAAATATTTCAAGATCGCAAGGAATGCAAAGCTTATATAGAACAGACTACAACTGAGAAAGTAGGTTGAATATATCCCCCTGGGCAAAAATAGTTGCACAAGATATTCTTCATATATCACCATTATAAATTAACATTTTGAGAAACGTAATTATATATTCGGATAGCCTGTGGAATTCTCTATAAATCTATGTATGTATGTTTTGAATTACACTTCTTTGCTAAAAATAAATACAAGCACAACAAAGACACCCTCATCGGTAAACTCAACTTTGGTCGACAGTAAAAATGTCGAAAGTAAAAATGTCGAAAGAAATTTATAAAGATAAAATAAAAAATTCTAAAAGAGTGTTTTATAAGATATTCGATGAATATGTTATTATTGTAGGATCGATGGCGACTTATGTTCGTTTAAATCTATCATTGGTCTATCAGACATTGGTGAGTTAGTACAATGTAATAGAAAAGAATAAGAAAATTATTCTTCAATTATTCATTATTCGAGTGATAAATATACATATGGATGCCGCCACGGAATCGACACACAACATCAACAGTGATTTAAATTTCATTACTTCGAATAAGGGACAACCTCTTTTAATAATGAATCAATACATATACAAATGCAACAAAAAAAAGGCTCAATAAAAAATATTGGGTGTGGGTGGTTAAAGATTGTGGCGTATATGTTCATACTGATATATATCAGAATTATTTATCTAGATTCAATAAGAATACTCTTTAACATCGATAAAATAATGTTTCAAAGTATTTTGCTTGCCGTTCGGTTTTATTTTTTAATATATAAAACATTTAACATGAATAAAAGTACTTGGTGTTTTTTTCTGAGCACAACATTTTTCATCAATTCCTATTCAATTTTCGACATTTTTACTTTTTCGTTTTTTCGACATTTTAGTGTCAACATTTTTACTGTCGACCAAAGTTCAGAGATTCCCTTCATCGCAAGATTCCCCGTAAATGCATTTTGCTTTCTTCATCCATTTTTTCAAAAATATTTTTAATATAGGAAGAAGTTATTACAAAAGTAAGTATATATTCTGAAAGCTCGTGAAATTCTCTATCAACCTATACATTATGTCTTGTCTTGCATTTCTTTACTGCAGTAAATAAATGCAAGAAAAGACATACAGATGCAGGATGATAGAGAATTTCATGCGCTATCAGAATATATACTTACTTTTGTAATAACTGGTTCCTATATTATAATTGTTTTTGAAAAATAAATGAAAATAAACAAAAAAAAAACATTTTCTGAGGAATATGAAGATGAGGGTGCCTTTATTGGGCTTCATTTTATTTTTAGCGAACAAGTGCAATTCAAAACGTACGTACATAGATTTGTAGAGAACTCCACGGGCTATCCGAATATATAATTATGTTTCTCAAAATGTTAATTTATAATGACGATATATGAAGAATATCGTGTGCAACTATTTTTGTCCAGGGGGATATACTAAAGGTAATAACATTCGATACATATATATATTCTAGATAATTCTCATTATTTCAAGCAATCGCGACTATGAATTTCTTCGTTATATTCACGATCAAATACAAGTTGTTGCTATCTATATTTATAGCAAAGACAACGAAGTGTACAAACAATATCCGAAGGTAATATTTCAATTCAATATATATGAGAGAAAAGAACTTTTAACAAAGAATTACTGCCATACAATTCTCACTAAAATCTTTTCAGATCAAAGCTATATTGACTAATCCAACGGACTTAGTGAAAAAGATTGATATTGATCAGAAAAAACGACAAGAAGTGGAAGATTCAATAGGGAGTATTGGTAGCTTTTATAATCCAGAGGGTCCATCAACTAAAGCTCTTGAAAATGAAAATGGAGATTTCATGTGGTTTCAATTATTTATCGAAAGTTTACTTCGAATGTCTAAGGAAGCTCTTCGTCCATCGCGGCACGAATTTATTGAATTTATTCGTCAACAATATCGTGATGATGCTGCTAAGCTTCGTACTGTCGATGATCTTGAATCAAATTACCAAGCAAATCAAGCAATACGATGGTATACTGGAGGCTCGTTTCTTCATAGTATCTTGAACAAAGCGTTTCGCCAACAAGATTATGTATTTCTCTTTACACTTCGCTTTTTCATTCATGATCTATTTTACTCTTTGGTGGAACGAAAGCAATTTGATCAAACGATTATCACTCTTTATCGTGGTCAAGCTATGAATGCCGAAGAATTAAATAATCTAATTAAAAATCAGGGCAATTTCATCTCTATGAACAGTTTTTTATCGACAAGTCGAGATCGATCAGTAGCACGCTTTTACGCAGAAACGAACGCTATTTCAAATAATGTTAAATGTCGTCCAGTTGTCTTTGAGATCGAAGTTAATACGACGCGCGCTGATATCAAACCCTTTGCTGATGTTAGATGGGATAGCCAGTTTTCGGATGAAGATGAAGTATTGTTCATGGCCGGATCAATCTTTCGCATTGTTACTGTTCAAAATGACTTCGAAGATGATCGTTTTTGGTTGATCAAATTGGTCTTGTGTGGTGAAGAGGACAATCAATTAAAGGAACTTTTCAAATACTTGAAGGCCCAATTAGATGACGAAACTGATATGGGATCTGTAGGAAAAGTTTTACTCGATATGGGCAAAAACGAACAATCGGGCATAGCTTTTGAAATTGATAGACAACATACGATAGTTCGAACTAATGGTGAGTTTGGTCGTCCATTAGAAGGATACACTCCAGGAATGTATTATCCTGAAATTTTGCAAGAAGCACAAGAATTAGCAGAAAAATTGAGCGCAACCAATGATGATCGAAGACTACTTGCAGGTTATTACAATGTTATAGGTTCGATCTATAAAGATTATCAACAATATGATAATGCACTTGAAAACTATTCAAAAGGACTCGACGTTCTGCTGAAATTTTATCATCAGGATGATCTTGAGATTGCAATGTTTCATGAATTTATCAGTCAGACCTACGAAAAGCAAGACAAAATTCAATTGGCAATAGATTCATCAAAAGAATGTCTTCGAATCAGGCAAAAACTTTTACCAGAATCACATCCAACCATTGCGGAAACATTTCATAATTTAGGAGAATTGTATAATGCTATGGATGACTTCGACAAAGCACTTGACATGTATGAAAAGGCACTAAAAATGAAATTGCTCTCTTCATCATTGAATCACCCGTCTACTGCAACAACTCATCAATCGATCGGTTGGGTTTATGAGCAAATCAATGAATTTCTTCTAGCATTGAAAAATTATACTGCTGCTTTTGAAATTCTACGAGTACCATGTCCATCAAATGACGAATCATTGCTTCAACTTCAAGAAAATATTGACAATATGAAACGAGCAATAGCTGCAAGTTCTGATAGTCATTCGGGTTAAACGTGTTGTCTGTCTATCTCCACTCAAACTAAGAAGAAAGAATAATGGGATTAGAGTACTTTGTGACTTTTTAATATTGGTTGTCCCTCACTTAAAAACCAATCGCTGCTATAACACTACTATCTTCATCTATCAATTTTATTCTATTAACATATTTTATCTTCCTTTTATCCAATAATAGATTTAAGATCTATCTGCTAATTTTTTTCTCAATAATATTTCCTTCGAGAATAAAATCTTTCTCTTATAAATCTTAATGAATCACAAATGATATCATTTTCTCGTGCGATTATTTACATTCAAAAAAGAATATTTCCTTTACACGTCACTGCGGTGCTTGATTCACGAATCATCATATTAAGAGCAAATTGCACAACCTGATGTAAAAAAAGCACGTTAGCGCAGCCCCATGAGGGCTAAACTGTGAAACTCACATAATCTCAACAAAATTTATCATACTAATATCGATATAATATACATCAAGTAAAACAACAGTATCACATCATAGTTATTTCCAAATATAGTCGACCAATGTAAAACTAGCCTATTTTTAATTCTCTGTGCACTTTAGTAATATACTTTTTGTGAAACACGATCTGAAAGGAGTGTTGAAGTATATAGGGTAGAAATTTGGACCCATCCCCCGCCCCCCCTCCACTAATTATCGGTAACAGTCATTGCATGTAATACNTGGTGGATTCTATGGATCCTGGTGGATTCTGGTGGATTCTATGGATCCTGGTGGAATCTACGGCTCCTGGTGGATTCTAGAATCCATCAGGAGCCACCAGGAGCCGCTTTTTCCCCCTTGGATTAACAGTATCAAGATATCAATACATTTTCGATCTAAGCTTAGTTTACCCATACAATAAGAATAAATAAGTGTTGGCTGTAATATTGGTATAATTGTAGCTACTATTGTTAGGATTTTGATCAAATGTTGTGGTGAAAATTTTAAAGAGCCATGAAGAGTGAAACCACAATAAATGACTAAAACCGAATTTTGTTAGTGCGAAAAATGCCCATGACTGAATGGGAAACGCTTGCTACTTTGTAAAAGTGAAGGGAATAAAATAATAAGCGCAACTACTATTTCACACCATTCACTAATCAGAACAAGTACATGATTACTCTCTTGGAAAGAATGACTACCACTAATAGGTTAACCAAAGAAATACAACTTCCTAGTACAAAATCCCAAACGTATGATTTGCCTACGTTGGGTTGCAAGTATGCAGTCATTTTTTGCTATTTGTTGTGAAACTTCGTGAAAATAGGGTTCAATGTTGCATGTTCGGAGTGTCCAATCAATGGAAATTTTTCCGTTGAAGAAATGTTTTGAGGCAAACGTATAACAGCTTAGCAAATATTTTATCCAATGACCCAGATAATTCTAAAACTATCCGATCTGACATAGCTATTAGCTCTATACAACAAGTAACTCTGAATTCGACTCCTAATGGATATAGAAATGGCTCAATCCCTTCAAATGAAGTTATATTTTCTCGGGTTGTATTTAAGATGCATCTATCAGGTTCTTTCTCTTCTTGGCGTGTTTCTTGTATTAACAAGAAAATCTATTGACAAACAGAATAAAAAGAAAGAAATTCGATAAAAGGCTTTGATCGCTCAGAAGATATCATTACTATGAGACCCTATAATGAACAACAGTAACAATAATTGGCAAATACATTTGAGACAATTTTCAATTATTGATACGCCAATATAATATTTACACTCATTTGAGGTATCTTTTTTATTAAGTGAAAGAGCTTGACCGTATACTCTTGTTGAAGTAAATAATAAATCAACAAGTACAAGTACAGAGAGAATTGTAGTAATGACTAAACGTTCAGTTGTTGGATATTTTCCATCATGCGTTTTAGGAATAATTATAAAAATACCAATTATAGATATGAGATATACAATAATGCACAAGTAATCACTAATTGCTCTGACTTGATTAAATGCAACGTGGCTTTTTACTTGAAGCGCTATTCAAGCTGTTAATAACAATATTAACAAAAAAAAGGAAAACAAGAATCGGCCAAATAGGCTTAATATGACCACATGCCTGTTTTGTGTCACTTTTTATTGTATCATTGTTCAGAGAATCGTTCACTTCTTCCATCAACAAAAACTGCTAAATAAAATGATTAGATTAAAATATAATTAAATACTTCAAATCACAATCGCAACGATTATATATGTGACGGATTCTATCCACCACTACTGCTCATGGCTGTATTTACGAACATTTGCCACGTACACAAATGCAGTCACCAATCACCTTTTCTCACTTATGTGAAGCAGGTGTGGGTGTGCATGTGGTTGTAAATCAGGAGAGAATTTCAAGTAACAACCAGATGCACACTCACTCCTGCACCCGAATAGTCGTTGTAGGTTTTAGTTGTTTTACTCACAACTTTGTTTATCTCTTGCTAGTTTGGATTTCTATTCGTCGGAATCGGTCTGATAAGAAACGGGTTGCTATTAGAACCTCGTTTCTTCTCTGGGGACGAGGTGTGTAATAATCTTTGTTGTCACTCGGTCCCCGTTCTCTTTCTTTTTCTTCTTTCTGACGCACGCACTCTCGATCTTCGTCGTCTTCGCACAGCCAGTTGAGAGTGTGGATGTAGATGTGCTTCAGTAGTGTAATTCAGTCACACACCCACACCCACATTCATATTTTTTTCAGAATAGTTGCTTGTCGCTATGCACATTGCATCGATTGTGTTTTTTCTTTTTAATTCTTACGTTCGCCACACAGTTCTCATCATACTGCATCAATACGACAATCACAACGTCAGCTCATTTACTTTAACAATTCTGGTGAGAAAGAGCATACACGATGAGTGCAATCGATTATACTGAAATTCGACAGAAATTTGCTTCGCTCGTGAATCAGACGTGTACTAATAAGGTGAATCGTCGTTTATCTGCACTTTTGGATGATATATACAATGACTTAGAAAATAACATGTTGTTACGAACGAATCTCGATATTCTTAACGAACTTTCAAGTACACTAATGGCAGCCCATAGGGAACAATGGCTTCATCAACCACAACTTTTGGGACATCCGATCTTTATCATTTTGAGGGATTGCTTGATCGATATTCTGTTTGATGAAAAACAAGTTGAATTAGTGGCACGATTATCTACACTTCTGCACCATGTTTGTCACGCTACTGCTGTAAAAGATGAAATGGTTCGTTTAATGATATGCAAACCTCTGATTGATAAGCTGAACTTTTTTATCATTGAATTCGAACAATATCGCGGCCCACCAAAGCAACTTGAATCTATGAATCGTTTACTTCGAATATTTACACTAATTCAAACGATGCGAATCGATCTTTATGAAGATTCTCTTTTAGAACTTCTGTTTCTTAATGTGTCTAAGTGTATCAGTTCGACATTTTTTATGGCTCAACTTTCCAGTGTGCCGCAATCCATGAGTGATCTGGAATCAATCCAAACATTTTTATTCGACAGTTGTATCGAGTTTATGTATTGGCAACCATATGAAGAAAGTTTGTTGCGAAGACAAACTTTGGGGCAGATTTGTGGAATACTTCTACCTGTCATAGTACGTCTAATGTCCTTGTTATCTTTCTCAGAGCCCATTATGCGCATTGCTAATCTACTCAGCATTCATATAATGGTTCCAGAAAGCTACACAGATGATAAAGTTCTTCACCAAGATTACTTTGCGCTCTTGAAACATTGTATATCAATGATTGACGTTGAAACTGTTCGATCGAAAGAAAGATTGCTTCTAGAATGCATATGTCACCTTACGAATCATTCCGATTTACTCGCTTTCATGATAGAATTTGACTCTTTGAAACCAACTCTGCTAAAAATAAGTGATATGGATGATTGTGAAATATCTCTAAACTCCTACCGCATTCTAGCATTGATTATGTGCGAAGATGATATTAAAGCACTAAAGAACGCGAACAAAATTGTTGGGATCTATTACTTGTACTTCATTAGTATGATGGAAGATCCAGTTCAAAGAACAGCTTTTCAAAGTCTTCTTCAGAGCTTGAAGAGTAAGTAATAGATAATAATCTTGTTAGAATACGTCGACAATAACTGTACTGTTTTTAGACTTCGTACAACATGACCAAGTGAAAGTAGAAGTGTTGCAACAAAATATCATACCTCTGCTCATTCGATGTGTCACCGAAAGGCAGAGCTTTCAATCGATGAAAACTCTACAATATGCGATAGAAATTCTTATAGCGCTATCTTTCAATGACGAGGCTTCGAATATTCTTGAAAAAGACTCCGAGCTAATAAAGTGCCTCGAAACACTAAAAACATCACATGAAGAAACAATCCAACGGGCAACAAATCATTTGATTTGGCGGCTAGAACAAAAGCACAACATTCCAAATGGAAGTGCACCTCACGTCACCTCCAAATCGAAGTACGATATTATGATTAGCTATTCTCACAACGATAAAAAGCTTTGCTTCCAAGTTTGTGATTTTCTTGAAAAAGATGGATTTCGTGTATGGCTCGATCGTGACCGAATGCATGGAGATGTAATAGTTGCTATGGCTGATGCTATCGAAAATTCTGAGTTCATCATTATCTGCATGTCGGAAACCTACAAAGCAAGTCCATATTGTCAAGCTGAAGCCAACTATGCATTTCAAAGACAATCCAAACTATTGCCACTCGTCATGAAACCAAAATACAAACCTGATGGCTGGTTAGGCTTTATTATGAGTGGAAAGATTTATGTAGATTTTACCAAGCATGAATTTAATGAAGCCTATTTGTTACTGAAACATGAAATTGAAAACAAGCGGCAAGTTACAATGAACCAAACAAAGAAAATGGAAGTCACTCATGAACCAATATTGCCCATTTCCTTGCCGATCAAGGTGTATCAACGGCAAGCGCGGGTGTATCAGCAGCAAGCACGGGCGTAAGTGTATATTCTCATAAAAAAAAAGAATGTATAGATACAGCGAAACTCTTCATTAATTTCATATTGTTGTAGAGATTTGCCACAATTTGTCAATAAGTGGTCGGAAGAGCATGTACGTTGCTTCCTTGGAGAAAATAATTTAACTTCACTTTTCATTGTATTCGATAATTTCAATGGACATCTCTTATATCAAGCCTATTTAATGTGTGAAAAAAACCGAGAACTAATGTTTCAAGCAATGCGTGAAGAAGTCAGTGCATCTGGAAACTCATCGATACTGACATTGGGTACCTATCTTCAGTTTCTTGAAGAATTGAAAAAATATATTCCGATTAATACTACGAAGTTATCGCAACAGTTAACATCATCAGTCTGTTGCATCATGTAAAAGTTCTTGTAAACGTTGAATTTCGACATGGTCATTTGAATGACTTGACCAACACGATATATGACGCGCATGTAGAAAAAAAATTCAAATGTCTGCATTTGACGATCGATCAAGTATCAATCGTCGAGCTCGAGAGGAGAACCCTTAAATGAGTGCTAAATATAATATCAATTATAAAATGAAGAAATTCAAAGCAGATTAATACAATTACTTGTGCATGAGAATACATGCAGATGAAAAGAAAAGGAATGCATCTAACAATGGAACCGCCTGTACTGTTGAGCTGCTTTCAAGTTCAGAGCATGTGTATCAGGTAGACCCCAGTGAGATATAAAAAAACCCAAAAGGATACGTGCTGATGGACCTCCCCACCAAAGTTATAGTCATTATACTGGAATTTTAGCCTATGGCATGGTATCTACCAAAAACTCTAAGAACAATATTTCAACCTGAAATTGTGTACGCAGGTAGGGCTACTTGTAACTGGAACATTCTGCAATTTTCAGCTGAAAATAATGTTCCCTTCATAAGATATTGAGTTTCCAAAATCACTCATATTCTGCTAAAAGGTTGGAGAATGCCACGTTTTTTGGAAACCCAATATCTTATGAAGGGAACATTCTTGTCCGCTGAAAATTGCAAAATATTCCAGTTACAAGTAGCCCTACCTGTGGACACAATTTCAGGTCGAAATATTGTTCTTAGAATTTTTGGTAGATACCATGCCATAGGCTAAAATTCCAGTATAATGACCATAACTCTGGTGGGGAGGTCCATCAGCACGTATCCTTTTGGGTTTTTTTTATATCTCACTGGGGTCTACCTAATACACATGCTCTGAATTTGAAAACAGCTCAACAGTACAGACGGTTCCATTGTGAGAGAAATAACCTGATGTAACTTCATTGAAACAAACAATGCAGACTGTACAGCCACAACAGAGGACCACATTTGAATACGTTCATGTTTTATTAGTCGATTAGTGTAGCCTAATTATCTCAGTTTTTTTATTCATAATTGGACATGAAAAAGTTGATGCAGATTGTTGAAGTTAAAAGTTAGTATAATTATAGAAGCTCAATCAAGAAACTAGTAAACTCGATAGCTATTATTGGCATATACTTTCCGAGAATGAACATCAATTAAAGTTAAATATTTTCCTATATTTGTAATGCAATAGGATGAAATAATTATGAAAAGTGTAGAGAAAATTTACTGCTCATGATTATGTAATGTTGAAATTTCTTGGAGAATTTTACAGAACCTCAAAAAATGAATATCGATATATCTGTTGGAAACCGCTTCTGATGAATCGGTAATGCAATCGTTTTCGAGAATATAAAACTACGTCATGAAAATATGACTCATATGAAACCATTATTTGCAATTATAATTCATAATTCCGCTATTATCGAATATTTATCTGTTGTCCAATGACAATCGTTATATGTAAAATAATTACTATCTGCATAAAAATTAGTAGAGATTTCTTCTACTAATCAAAATATATCTTTGTACACTTTTATTATCTATCTAGTAAGAAGTTCTTCTCTATCACATATTTATATACAGTAAAACATCTCTTGAATGAACACCATGCGGACCGTTCAAAATGAGTTCACTAAGAGAGGTGTTCATTATAGGGAGGTTTTGTATTGACTGACCTTATATATGTAAAAAACACCTTTTTCAGATTCTTGATTTATGAATATGTATGTTATGTATAATAACTGGAGTAAGTATGCATTGATTAATTCGCTCTTTCATCTACTGTACAATTTATTTACTGTTTACTATGGAATTATTTCATCATATTTAAAATTTATTTACTGTTAATTTTAAAAGTATTTCTTGTAATTGACAACTTATTTACTTCTTATTAAAAAAAATTTCTATATATTCTGGCTTGTGTTTGATGATTTTTGATACACTTCCGATAAAGATTTTCTATTTTTCGACAAGTGCACAATATGAAACGTTGCTTTCATTTTCACGGATTAATTATATTTTTTCAAATAAAGTCAACGCGTTTCGTGCCGTCATCTCACAATAATGTATAAGAAAGCGAACAGTTCTGTCTATTCAATTTTATTTTTCTGTTCTTTTCCTGCGACACATTCGTTCGTGCTGCATGGACGAGCATTCATTTTCATATAATCGTTCAACATGAGCATCGCTTTTTGTTTCTCTCTCTTTTAATTCTGACGAAAGTGCACATTTGATAGCTTATATGTTCACTATGTAGACGTTTTCTCTAGTAATGGGGCCAAAAAAAGTGTTCAATATTCAGAGTAAGGAGGTGTTCACTAACAGTGGTTTTACTGTACTTACTATAAAACAATTATTGCATATAAAACTTTGACTTTAACATTTCATATTTACATTCTTTTACTATTTTTTGCTTAGATTCGTAAAATGCAGAGTCCTGATTAGTGTTTCAATATTTTAATAAAAATAAACATAAGGTGCATCGACAAAGTCATAACCCTGCATTCTATCTTTTTATTTCAAGTGAAAAATTGTTTCAAATGGAATCATGAATAATCGATTAATATCTGTGGATTTTCATCTATTATCTGCCTCCGAAATCAATTAAAATTATTAAATTTTCGCCTATCTTTTACATGAGAAGAACCTTTTCACAATTGAGGGCGTTTCTAGCAAATACCATTTGACTAGGAACGAATTCCCATAAGTATTTTATCCTGAGAACGTTTAATAGTAGCAACATTTTTTTGAGGAGCTATCATCAAGGACATTTTTCGAAGCATATTGTAGCATGTCTAAATATCAAACGAGTTATGCTTCAGTAAGCGAATGTACAAGTAACAGCGTCATCGTACTTAAAGGAATACTTTCTATGACGATTTTCTAATAGAAGAAATGTTAGTACGATGGAACGGCGCTATATTCTGTTCCTTCACATAATTTAATTGCATCATTTACGTACAACACATGTTTATATACACGACCAGAACAGAGAGAACACAATACATAGTGAGTTTGCGCTTAGAAATAGCATTGTAAATAATAACAACGCAAAGATAAGCTGTCTTCATTACTGTCCATCTATGTTGAGAGAATGCACTGAATCCATGAAATCACATTACAGCGTGGGAAGGACCTAAAAGAATGCCATTGAAAGCACAAAAACTAAATATGGCTAAGGTTGAGCGACATAATGACAATATCGTCACGCATTACTGTATATGTATTGTTTTTATTATAGTAAGGGGTATTTTGATTGTCTTATGTTTTATTATCTTTGTAATGTCAGGCTTTTTATGTGATATTTTGTAAACCAAAGCATATTAAATAAGAAAGAAACACAAAAGGTAATAAACCTATTTTTCTTTCTTTGCGATAGGTTGGACATATAGAAACTGCGAGCATGTTTCGTGTTGATATAAACGACGAATTAAAATTAATTCAAGTAAAAACTAATGAAGAATCCAAAGCAGAAATTTTAGCCGAAGGATATTTTACTTTTGATGAACCTGGTCATGCTGTACTAGTGGTTTTTAAATACATCAACATTTTGCCGGAAGATTACTGCAAACTAGGTCAATTACTTTCAACTTTCATTCTTTATGTGGGCCAGTACTTTAAGTCACTTATATGTCTACGTTTACCGGTTACATTCGACAATCTAATTGATTTTAATAAACTTGAGTTTAAACCAAACATCTCAAACTTCATGGCAATAAAGAATGATAACTTGAAATACTATGCCGACCGAAATATAGCAAGTCAGCAAGATCAATATGTCCTAATAACAGATAAACAATTGATATTGGGATTTGCCGAATCACTATATAATATATTGAAGCAGGAAGCTTACTGGTGTGCAACACTGACTTTGGAAGAAATGAAAAATCGAATCAATTCATCAGCACACATTGCAATGATTTTAGATAAAGCATATAATCAACCGTGTGGTTATGGACGTTTATTTCTTTTAAAAATTAACACTCAACTCTTTGGATATATGTCGGATGTTGCTATCAACAGTTCTCATCAATCGAAAGGTCTTGGTAGCATTTTAGTAAATCATTTCGTCGGTACATTTTTAAAGGAATACATTGAACTAGAAAATATTGATTGTACACTTTGTTTACTATGCGCTGATAAAGGTAGTGGTGCCATACCGGCATCTAAAATATATCGAAAAGCAGGTTTTGAATATCTTACTGATCATGGTAATCGTATTGCTATTTTTTCTAACAGAGAGTTTCGTTAAAACGTAATAAAATAAATTGAATCCGTAATTTGATGATATATTCTATAATCGGAACATACAATGGTATGTTAATTATTATCATTTGATGGAAATTAGAAATTAGCGAGCACGAAATAGAATAGGCCAATCTGGCATTTATCGGCACACGAAGAAATAACCTCAATAACAGGGTGGGTGTGGGTCTTGGTGTTCTATTTTTAATTCAGCCTGGGCACATCCACACCTACACCCAGCTTTCTCTGAAGTCGACTCGAATTTTACATGTAAATGGCAGAATTAGGAAAACAAAATACATTAGCCGGCAGAATAAAGAACATAAGAAATTTCGACTAAAATTGACCCCTACGTCATTGTCAAGCTTATTACTGGGCACCCGTTAATCATTTTTTCCTTTTTCATACATCAATCGATAGAGAAATGTTTGCTCTATTCCGGAAAGAAAAAAATATTTCTATGTGACACGGAATGTCTGAGTTATGAACATTTTTCTGAAGATGTATTTTTTTCCGGCAGAATTAGGTTCGCCTACTCTATGTAAAATTTGTTTTCGGGACTGAAAGTTAAAAATAAAGAGAATAAAACTCTGTTTCGAATTACATGACAGCCGACATCTTTTTGAAACGATTTCTCCTTTTGAAAAATTCAAAATGTAAATTTTTTTTGTACTGAAAAACTGTTATATTTTAGGGAAACGTCACATTACTTGGGCAAGCCGAATTGTATGTCAACAACATCTGTAAAGAGGAGGGACTACAATTTTATATCTTCTATCGTATAGACTTCAACATTCGCTTCAGATAAGATTTCACAACAAAAACAAAATCTCATTCTTTTCGAATCTATAATATTTATTTAATATCTTTTAAAATAAGAATCAATTAAATATTGTGTTATTCAATGAAATTAACCGATTCTGGACTACAAACAACTATTGTAAATAATTCCATTATAGATTCCAAATATGTTCTTATAATCAAGATATATTTTGTTCTTTTGTTCAAATTCATAATAAAAGCAAATTGCATATTTCCACCAGCATCATCATTGCTTATGATTAAGTTTTCTGATAAATTTAAATAATTACAACTCGCTAAAACTACTAATATACATATATCCAAATATGTTCATGTAACAAAAACATCGAATTGAATAATTTCCATTTTTTGATATATTTATTGATATTGATTCACAATAAAAATTTGATTGAGAACAATTTATATCTCAACAAAATATTTTACTTGCATTGTTTAATGATGATGAATATCGAGATTCAATATTTTTTAATGGGTCTAAACAATTTTTAGTCAACGGTATTTCGCATTAGATTAGATTTTCAAAATGAATAGAAATTCAAATCCAATTATTCATCAAGTGGGACGAAGAAATTTTCAGCCACGACAAATGGAAAGGTCACATACTTGAACATGAAAAACAAGAAAAGTTTATCTCTGATTGCATATATTCATTTTAATTCCGATGAAATTTTAAATGATCACCTAACAAAAGTCTGGGACAAATCAGAAACTGAATTTCTTCTTATTTCGGCCTCCGATTTAAATTGTTTCCTTCGAGTTGGATCGAAAATATTATTTGGGATGTGTTTTTCTATAACGTTCGACTCGGACTGAGAATAATTACTCGTAATTTTGAAAAAGACTTTCAAAATTGTCTTCAGCTGGTTATTAAAATCTGTAGATGACTTCAAGACATTTTAATGAATATAAATTTAGTTGATATATTGATTTGAGAAAATAAGAGGATAGAACTTGCAAATGCATTAATTTCAAATGGTTCAGTTACATTTGGTTTGAATGCCGTTACTACTAATATATATTTTACTGAATTATTAAATCTTATTCTAAATCGTGGTTCATCAATATAATTTGAATTTATAGAAATTGAAATTTTATTTAATTCAAGAGAAGTTGGATTGAAATGTTTTTTATATAACATAGGCTGCGGTGGAATGCTTCCATTTAATGGCAAATAATGATATGCATTTGCTGATACATTTAATTCAATTGTTTCATAATAAAACTTTGTTCCAGAATAAAAATCATTATAATAAAAAAATGTTTCACTATTTATTGTTAAATTTGACAAATATGTTGATAGTAGGATTATCATACTAGCAACTAAAATTAAATTATATATTTTTTTCGCTTTCTCTAGAGTTGCAAATCATATTCTGAAATATTTGCTTACACATCAGCTGCATCTATCAAAATGAACGAGACTGAAAATTTCTGTCCTATTTATTTTAACATTTCTTTCAGAAATATATATATATATATATACATATAAGACGTATAATTTTATTTCTGTTTAGATTGAAACACTTATGCTCTCTAATCCACTATTAATGGAGTGATGAGTATTTTTCTGTGTTTATTTTTTCATCTAAATACAAAATTTATTATTTAACAAACATGTGGTTTCTGAATTGACTGCTGTAAAAGATTCAGTTATAACAGGGTTAAATGTTGAATTTAATAAACTTGGTTTTGTTGTATTAATTAAAACAAAGAATAAAATTGGTGCTAAATTAAATTGCATTTCATTATTGAATAGCTGAAAGAGAAATAGAACAACTCTCAAAATGGAGAGGAACTATTAAGGGGGTTGCAGTTTCTCAAAAATGGAACCCTGGCATTCCTAGCATAGAGCGCAATATCAAATGTGAGTGTAAACAATGGAGTTAATTGTTCTTTATTGTTGAACAGAATAAGGCCATTTTAAATATTCAATAGGTTCGACACTATTATCCATACATCTCACAATTAAATTGATTTGTTATTGATAGTGATCGTCGATTGTCGATGACGTTTCATTGCTAATTAATTTATGCTTTGTTTAACTTAATGTACACGCATAGCTGAACAGCTCAATTCAATTCATGAACGTAGTTGAATTAAATCACGAGGAAAACTTTTCGAGATCATCGAATTGAATTGGCCATCGTTGTCGGTTAAGTTTTCTAGCTCTGTGTACACGTAAAGATAAATATATTTGTATCACAGTGGGTACTTCTTGTGAATCGATGATGCAAAGCGACTCAGGTCGATCAAAACGGATCACATTAAACAGCAGTAACGTGACTGTATACAATCGATATTCTGCGAGCTTGGTAGGACAGGGTCGATTACCACACTCGCGTATGAATTTGCCTCTGCATTCTAGAATAAGATAGTAAACCATTTTATGTTATCCACGTTTTTTTTAACAGTAATCTACGCAGTTTCTTCGATTTATCATTCACAATGCTCCTTAGCTTTGATTGAATTCTTTTCACCGATATTTGCTAATTTACAATTTAAGAAATAAATATGTTATGAAATATGTCAGTAACGTTAATATTTGCTTGTAGAGATAACGAGACTCGAATGGATGATGATTACGTATATTGGCGACTTTATTTACTAGATGTTCATGTCACGTATTTTTTTACTATCCCTGCTATACGACAGTAGTCGTAAAAATCAGTGGTAACACTTATAAGCTCCAATCTCAGATATAAACGCTTTCAGAACCTGTTTTCTACTAAAACTGGGCTCATTTCTGTAAGAGTTCGAATTAATCGAAAAGAAAGCTTTTAAAATATATTTTACTAATAATTATTTTTATAACGACACCTTTAATAACAGCAAATGTCTCATAAATGGAGTCGACTTGAACACTGTCACTACTACAGAGGGCCCATATACATCGTGATTATCGGATTACATTGAAATCGAAGCTATTGTGTCGGTTTGAATGACATGGAAATTCACAGTAAGTAAAAACTCAATATCGTATAGTAAAATATGTCACTTTTCTCTGCTAGACAGTAATATTTGCCTTCGATAAGAAGGTAATAAAAATTTACGATCGCTTCTACTTCGTCTGAATTAGCTTTACATTATCCAGTATGCATCATACACTCTTACATAAGCAATAAAAAAAAAACTTTCGGTGATTCAATATCATTTGGAAAATACAATGATATGTTCTTTCTGCTTCTAATTCTCAATGGCTATAGCATTGAGCCCGAACAACTAGCTATTGCTCGTGGGTTCAATTTCTGACTAAAGCGTGCCCTTTATTTTTGTTTGTTCATCGGAAGTCAAACGGAATAAAATTATTCAGAATAATATAATCATAAATGCTCACTGTCTATTCTTTAATAATTATACTACTCTCGATAAGAAGAGAATGCAAATTTGCGATTGCTTTCATTTGACGAGAAATAATACTCTATATCCCCATAAAGTATTTTACACCACGATTCGTGTGATTCCTCATACAATTCGAGTAAAGATGAGATCAAGATACTCATGGCGAAAAATGACTTGCAAGATCTTATGATACCAGACTAGGGATGCAACGCTGACGGTGATTCACCGGCTCACTGTACCACCAGTAACCGCTTTTACCGGTAACCGTTCTGCCGGCAACCGACATTAGCTGGTATAGATCCTATACTGTTCTTGGCAGACTTATACAGGCTTTTACTAGTGTATACCGGCTTATATCGGTTTATACTAGCTAATATCGGCTTCTATCAGTTACTTGTAGAGCGATTACCGGTAGAAACGGTTATCGTCACCGTTGCGTCCCTACACAACAAAAGATCTTACCAAAACTCATCGTCTCTGAAATCATACATAAATTCTTATTATGAGATTTCTGAGACGAGAATTTTATGTACGATTGTTGTCTGATCTTACAAGATCAGATGCAGAATCTTGTCTGATCGATGTATCTGATTGTTTGTCGCGGATAGCTCCCCAGGTCGAAAAATCTGACTCAAGATCTTATGAAGCACATACAAGATCTTGGAATACGGGCGAAATTTTACAAGAATCTGACAAAAAAATTGTAGTTCTTGAGATCTGAGATCAATTCGCACAATCAGATTCTTGAAAGATCTTACACATTTCTACGATCTTTGAAGAATCTGATTGTTCAATCTAATATAAGATCCCAGGAACTACGATTTTTTGTATGATTTTCGTATGATCGTGCAAGATCATATAAGATCAGATGCAAGATCTTATCAGATCTTACAATATGATTGCTCGACCTGGATCACGAAGAGCTCTTATCAGTTACACTAATCGATATTTCTTCATGACCTTCATACACTGTAAAAATAAATGGGGCAATACCAAATCCAAAAGAGAACTGTGACCGAAAAAAGGTTTTGTACATACTACGGAACCTTAAAAGGTTTCGATTTCGTTGCAATTATCTGAACTATTTTAGGTTTGGTACCGACCGCTACGGAAAACTTGAAAAAGTGTCCCGAGTCAATGACAAGCAATCTTAGTCACACAAAGTCGCGTACGAAACCTTTTCAGGGTTTCGTATTGTCTTCCTAAATGGTTCCTTAATCATAGTAATTTTTTGCAGCGTACCGAACCATTTAGGAGGACAATACGAAACCCTGAAAAGGTTTCTTACACAACTTTGTGTGACTAAGATGGGTTTGTCATTGACTCGGGACACTTTTTCAAGTTTTCCGTAGCGGTCGGTACCAAACCTAAAATAGTTCAGATAATTGCAACGAAATCGAAACCTTTTAAGGTTCCGTAGTATGTACAAAACCTTTTTTCGGTCACAGTTCTCTTTTGGGTTCGGTATTGCACCACCTTTTTACAGTGTAGTGCGCGTACCAGAAAAGTAGTTGAAGGTGTTGAATGAACGCATAATATCTCCAAAGAGCTAGTTACTAAACGCTGTTCTATATTCGATGGAGGGGCAGACAGGCATATGTGACTGCATAGTTGGTGTGAACCAGGGCTCCGCGTGGGATGGGATGGAACAAAAAGTTTTGTCCCGTGGGCATACAATGGGCTATTTGATTTCAATCTGAAATTACGAGAAAAAAAGCAGTCCATTGCAGACAAACAGGGGGATTTGGGGGCTTTAGAGTTCTATAGATGTATAAACATGCATGTCTTTTTTTTTCGAGCTGGTGGAGCAGGGGGCTAGGGGGTTCAGGAGGCTTTAAGATTATAGAGCTATATCAGTATGTATGTATGTACCCCTGTTTGACCTTGGCGCTGGAGAGTTTTGAAATAACTCGAGAGTTGTATGTGAAAGTTTTTCAACGTCCGAGTACAGAAAAATCGCATACATACTTATATAGCTATAGAATTCTAAAGCCCCCAGAAGCGTCTCACCCCACCGTATCTCATATATAAAAAATGACTTTTCTTGCTTTAAGATTCAGATTGAAATCGAAAAGCCCATAGACGCTCCATGGGACCAAATACTACGAACTGTCACAGGTGGGATGGGATGCGATAGGGTGAACATTTTTCGGTCCCACTCCATCCCATTATCTCATGGGGCATCGTAGTCATCAAAACGTTTTTAAAATAGTCTTAAATATACATAAATTTTAACGCCACTAAAAATAATTTCAATCATTTCATTTTGTATTTCGTAATTTTATGAAAATTAACAACTAGTTCACATTTTCCCTTACTTATTTTCATAATACCACACATCACATTCTCTATACGTATACATTAATGATAGTTAAGTATGAAAGAAGGTCAAATGCAAAAGTTAAAATATATACATTTATTGGTACATATTAATTGAAAGCATTTTATTTTTGTAACAAGTTAATCCCATGATGACCCATGGGATGAGATGATTTTAAAATTTTTCCATCCCATTCTATCCCACGCGGAGCCTCTGATCTGAACCGTGGAATATTTGGTGTCGATATTACTGCTCATTATCACCCACACCCCGCAACCATCTCATACGTTGCTGACAAAATGACGAAAAAACGAATGCTACTGGTTTCAGATTCTATTAGGTGTGTTAGATTTGGGTTTCGTCCGCAGACACGGAAGCGCGGACCCTCCTATACTCGGTGTTGTATCTTCATACTACATGAACAAATATATAGATATGTTTCTGTTAGCCTCCTCTTAGGAAAAACTTAGCATATGCATCAGTGTATATATTTTTTTAGTTCCAAAATAGTTGCACTAAAGTTAGATGGCGAAATATACTACTTTTTGTCCCATCTTATTACTTTACATTGGTACCGCTATGATAGATGTTTTTTTACGGCCACAGTGCTAATCATAATGATAGTGTTGATATACAATGATGTCATCACAAGAAAAATATGTAACATAGGGTGTGACATTTGTGCTAAAATCTTTCGAAAATACGATATAAAACAGTAAATAAGCGGTAAGCGTTGTGGAACTATATATAAGAAATTTGATATATGGTACCAAAAACTCCACATAACTGACCCGTATTTATACAGTGAACAGATATCAGAAAACAGATGGGACGACCTCACGTCAAGCAGCCACCTTTTCATCTGTCTACGGCCCGTATCGTTTGGCATGAACATCATTTATTTTCTGTTTACTCGTCGAAAGTCAAAAGGAATAAAAAAAAGGATGCATTATTGTATATCTACTGTTATTTAGTAATCTGTTTACATGGAGGCAATAGACAGTGATGTTTATATGTACGATCGCTCACCATCAGCTGTACAAGATACCCCGAAAACCAAATTTTATCGTTTAACATTGAACGAAATATTAACTGTTGTGTGCGCAACTTTGATACCCATCACTCTTGGCGTCTATACTGGAATAACATCTATGCAGGAACAACAACAAGCTGATGAAATGCGACAATTTGACTTGAATCAGGCAGCTGAATTGAAACAACAGATGATTTATGATAGATTTTTAGATGATATGTACAAGCTAGAGAAAGATGGTTACTTAACCGATACAAAAAATCCATGGTCATTTGCCAATGCCCGTTACCGTGCTGCACATAGACAGTGGGATATTACACGTAAGGCAGATGCTTTACAATTTCTCAAAGAACACGAATTAATTGGAAAAGCAAAAATTATTGACAAACGCACGACCAAGGCAGTTGTTGATGTAATTCTTTTAGCTGGATTAAACTTCGATAATATACAGTTAACAAGTGCAACTGGTGCATTGAATCAGTTGAATTTCGATAATGTAGTATTTGATCGAGTATCAATGGCTAATGCTCAATTTTCATTTGCTAATCTGAAACAAACATCATTTAGCTATGCACGATTGAATAATGTCATGTTCTTAGATGCATCATTAGCTAATGCTCATTTCGACAATACGGAATTACGTTCAGCAGACTTTGGCAATTCAGATCTAACAGGCACGGAATTTCTAAATGTTGATTTATCTACAACAAAATTAACACAGACACAAATTGAACAAGCAATATTTTTTAATAGTACATTACCGAACGGAACAGCCATTGCTACCTCAAATAGAAGTAAGCTGTTCAGTTTATTTCACATATCAACTGAAAGTATAATTCTTGTTCTAGCAACAGCAACGGCAACAGCAACAGCAACGGCAACAGCAACGGCAACAGCAACAATAACGACAGTAACAACAACAACAACGGCAGCAACAACAACGACAGAAACAACAATAATGGCAGCAGCAACAACAACGACAGCAACAACAACAACGGCAGAAACAACAATAATGGCAGCAACAACAACAACGGCAGAAACAACAATAATGGCAGCAACAACAGCAACGACAAGCAATATAACTTTTAACGACACAAGGTAACTAAGAAAAAACAACAATTCTCTTTTGATCGAGCTAATATCTGTTACAGTTTGCAATTATTCTCAATCGGTAGAGAATATATCCAATGTATTGTTGTTTTTATTATTTCTTTAAAGTGAAATGATTTAATCAATGAAAAATTAGATGTTCAGTTTCTTTTTGTGTTTTACATTATAATATCACTTAATGATTTCTTTGTTTTTTCTTTCATATTTTAGTGACCGGTAATATTACCACTGACTCTCAATTTTCCATCAAAAAATAAACGCAGCGACGCAATGGATGTCACCACGAAATATTTTCTTTTATGAATATTACTATTGTCTGTCATGAGACACACATTATTTTTGATTTTTTAAAAGTTCATAGCTGAAGACAATATATGTTGCATACACTTAAAACTGTACAAATATCTTGCAATGAAAAATATGAGAAAGCTTTTATGTCAATTAAACTGCTAATTATTCCACTCAGGTGGTAAGTTCATTTTAGGCTTCAAAGCATGCTTCCATTGGTTATCGTTCGAGAAGCTATGTGATGAGCTTTTCAAAAGTGTATTGCATTTTACAGCGAGTATTGAATGCTATTTTGCATAAAAAGCAGTTACAATTTGTCAAAAGTGATACCGTTGTGTTGCTTCAGATGTACAAGTAATTCACCAATTGAATGATTTTTATGTTTGTAAAAAATGAAATATACATATTTGCAATTTACAATGATATTTATTTATCAAAGCATCTCGAAAAAAGATTTTTCAAGTAATAAACTTTAACCTTAAAAGAAGTACGTTTCTTCTTAAAAATCTTAAGAGTTATCATTTTCTCCACTAGTATATACAACAAAGAGTCTAGAAGGTTGTTCATTTTTTGATCTTGTACAATATTCCATTGATTTTTAATAATTGTAAACTTTGCTTTGACCCTCTAATACAAAAAAAAGCGCCGTAAGAATCAGAATGACTGATGGTGATAGTATTGCAAATACTATCAGATTTTTTTTTCGTCTTCTCGTATATGATTTTCATTGGATCTTATGTGGATTTTTTATTGCTTTTATTTATAAGAAATAATAAAATTTACGAAGTCAGACCATTGGGAGATTACCAAATTTGCAGAAAAAATAGGACGAAATCGAGAAAATTTTTTATTTTTCTGCCTAAAATTTGGCAAGTTATGTATGTCTGGGAATAAGATACACCACATATTTTCAACCGTGTTTCTTTACATCGGTCGTATAAAGCAAGCGACAATCACACCCATGAAAATTAAAATGACACCAACTTTGCGGATAGCAGCAGCTGGGTATGGGTGTCTTTTTCTAAACGCACACTCCACACTCACGCCCTGCCACTCGATTGATGTCGCTCTATAATGGGTGAGTCTATCTGTCAGGAATATTCATTTTATCATTAATTGTCTAATTCCTTTACTATATTAAACATCGGTTAGGTATCCATCCAGGTATATTGATACACATTTCAGAAAATTCTTCGGTCGCTCAGTGTCAAAATCATCTATGGTACCATTCATCGCCAACGAGAATCAATTTTTAGTTATGAGAAATAACTTACCTTACTACCTAAACCGACTGTCAAAGAACGAGAAACACAACATAGAATTGCAGCTGTTCCATTCAACGAAGGCACTGATGGTCACAATACTGAAGAAAAAACAACAAAGATCACTGCGATTTCGAAACAAAATAAGCCGAATAAATTCGCGAACACTCTCTTTCTTCATTACAAACATGAAAAACGACTACATAGTCTGAAACAGTGAGCGAATCGAACCGACTTTTTCTGATTTGAGTTCGGTTCGGTTCCCAGGTCGATCAACTTGTGTCGTACACGGCCGTTCAGTATGCACCGTATTACGGTCGTTTTGTATCGTGCCATAAACGATGGTATACGGTCGGATACGGAAATATCCGACCACAATACGGTCGTTTGTTACCGTTTACGGTGAGAAACGGCAGTATACGTTAACGTTTACGGCCGTATACGACCGTTTCTGGTAGCCGTAATGCTCGACCTGGGTTTGTCTTTCTTTTTTTAAAGTCGGTTCGGTTTGATTGTATTAACATTGCAATATATATATTCGATAACTATCAAATTTATTATTTTATTTTTTAACTAGAAAACAAATACCCCTATTCTTCAAGCAAGCAGCTGAAACGCGTTGACTTTTATTTGGAACGACTTTATAATTCTCATTATCATTTTTTAATAGTGATTTAATTAATTCTGAAGTGTAAATTGAAGGTGCATTCATGGTAGAACCTGATGATAAAATTTCAGGTGACGAATGAGAAGAAGAGCTGTTGGAAGCAACTGTATGACAAGTTGAAATGAGTAGTGTACTGGAACAATAATATAACTTTTACACTAATGTCGAGAAAGATGTGAAAAAGAAACGATGATACAGCATCTGCTTGGCATTCATATACTATCGTCAATTAGACGAGCATCCGTCCATTCTTTGCAGCGTAAGACAGTGGGAGAGAAAAAGAGGTAAATTAAAAATGTATGACTCTCACAAGTGACTGACCGTCACGAACAGAATGCTTACGTAATATGAATAAGGAACAAAATACTGTATACAGGTTGAATTAATTGCGTAAAAGAACTGATCACAGGTCTTTTAACCGTTGTCAGCAGCATATATTTTCAAGAAATAAATGATAGTTCACCTAATTAGATTTTTTCTACATTGATTTGTATTTATTCATTTTTTCAATATCTTTTTCGAGTTCGGTTCGGTTCGTTTTCGCTCTCTGGTCTGAGACGTGACATACATAAGATTCATTCAGAAATATTTCAGGATACAATAGCAATAGATCTTCGACTAATTGTTGGGCATCGAAATCATCGTAACACTGGACATGAGTTAGTACAAAAAAGACCATGTCCAACAATGTTGAAACCAACCCCACTTCCAAGCAAGATTTTTATTTACCAGGGACTTTCTCTGATATTCAATCCTACTTTCCTTCAGATACCTTAGAACAGAAACGTGAAAGACCCCTCGTCAATTGATCCATATCGAATTATGTACGTTCAACTTGTTACCGCTGTCACTCTTCCACATCAAACCAATTTCCAGATCAAATCAATACTTCTAATCTACACGCAAATGACAATGACTGGTGAACACCCAACCCCTGTCCTATTCAGTAGAGAATATAACCACTCGTTCAGATAAAACTTGCATGTTCTTTTTTTTTCTCTATCCTTCCAGTACCCTATTGATTTTCACACTTGAACCAATCAGCATTTTCATTCTAGATATATACATACACATCTGAATTACCGTGCTACGACAATTGTACTACTCATTATAAAAAAATTCTCACACAGAATCCTTACTACATGACACGACCACCAACCTTTCCACGACCTACATCTAACACATGATCATACAACTTTAAAACAAGCGAAAGTTTCTAATCAGCTCATAAAACACTTCGTTCGTTAATCAATCTGGTTTTTAGTAAAAAGAATACTATTCTTAAGCTCATCCAAATTTCTCTAGATTTTGTTCAAAATTTTATGTTTGAATTTGAATCGAGTTAAAGATATTAAGCCACCTGACGAGACCCGTAACCAAGTTCGAAATCGAGTGTAGTAGTTTCCTACACACCCATTTTTATATGATCGCCATTTTATTTTTCGCCATTTCGTGCATCGATACATTTTCTTTCGCGATATTTTTTCGTTCTTTTATTTTCGCTTTTCTCTTCTTCGCTATTTTTCTTTTCGCTCATTTTAATTCATACCAACATTTTATTCCAGCCTATTTCCAGATTCGTGCATATTTTGTCCGCTTCCTTTGATAGACATGTTCGTTGTATAGGTAAATACATGCAATAGAAGGATTTGTTATACTTGAGTACTGAGAGTGTGGATGTGTGTAACTTACTTAGATTGGCTAGCACTACCAACAGCTACACTCATACCCAAGGTATGTATAAATAATAGGAGAAAAACAAATTTGACCATGGTCAACTGTTATGATTCAAGGTAGTTCTAAGATTACTGGCAACATAATATATTGACAATAACTTTTCTACATTTATGATTCACTTATTTTTATTGACATAATAATAAAGAAAAATCTTTATTCTTTCCAGTGAAATATGAAGTCATCGCTTGTAACTTAAATTCCACTCAGTAAGTAAGGATGAAGAAACGAATGACGCACGTCAAACGTCAAAGTAAATAGTGAAATACTTACATCAAGTATAATCCGATGTAGTATTTTAACTGCTAACGAATACTTCGTTGGCTATTCATTGAAAGAATTCATTACTTCTATTCAGCAGCTATTATTAATCCGTAAGTAAGTGTGATATGGATAGAGAAAATAAGTTTAGTGTTAGATGATTGCACTCCAGTTAAAAGTTTTGAAACTGCTTGATTATTGAAAGGTGTTACTAATCCACGCAAACTTGAAGACTTACATGTGGAAACATCCACGGATACTCAAGGTGATCAAGTTGTGATGAAAACGATTTGTTCGTAAAGACTAAAACATGATCCCTCTTCATATAAGTGCATCAACTTGTCCTTACCCAGGTCGAACAGTACGGTCCGTATACGGCCGTCGACGGTTACTTTACGACTATTTTACGGGCGAAAGTTTGCCGTAATATCTGGCGCAGTAATACGAACCGTATTATCATGAGAGTACGGAGCACAAACAGCCATAAACCATGAAAATTCAGTCCCGTTTACGGTGCCGTATTACTGCGCCAGGTATTACGGACAAATACGGCCTATTTACTACCGTAAATATACCGTTTTGACATCGTTTACCATCGATAAACATACCGTAAATGGCTCCGTCTTGATCAACCTGGGTAAGAATACAATAGAACTCCAACTTCATAGTCTCAATTTTGATACTGACATGCGCTACTGTTCAAGAATTTTTTTCTCGAGAAATATTCGCAGCCATCAAAATATGAATATAGCTGTGTGATGCGTGTGGATAACGATGTATCTCTAAAAGGGAGCAATGCTATCAGGACACCCAGCCTCTTACCTTCGTCTCTAATTTTTTACTTCCAAGTAAACTTCTATTGTAGTTCTAGGCAAGTAAAAATTATTTTAAAAACTTCCCAAAAATTTAAAATCATTTTACATTTTCTTTTTCAGAATCCTACGAAACATTTTCAATTTCGATTTTAAGTAAAATTATTCTATGCCCTTCAAAATTGAGATGAAATTT